CCAGCTTGAACTGGGCAGGGGCTGACTCCAGGTTTCTGGAAAACAACTAAAGCCCCCCGTTACTTTAGTGACCCAAACCTCAGAGGTGTTATCTATAGCGGTGGTTAAGAAGTCTTGTGATGTTACCTTGGCTACATGAAGCTTGAAGGGTATGCAATTAAAGGGAAAAAAAAGAAAGCGGCTTAATCAGTAAAGGCGGGTTACAGGCAGAGGGGTTTTTTAACAAACTGTTCCCTTGTCTGCTGTTTTGTAATGGCACAAAACACTCAGTCCTGCACACTCAAGGATTTCTGTTAAGGCACCAGCTTCTGTGCCTGTGAGGCATGGTTTCAGGATGACTAGCAAGAGATTGGCCCCCTCAGGTAACCATAGACCCAGTGCATCCCCCTGGCCCCGACTGAACACGTGGATAAACGGAGAGCCAGGACAAGGGATGGCTTCCCCAGTCACCCAGTACGTTATGGGTCACCTATGTCTGGAACCCAGAACACAGGCCCAAGCTCGTGCGTCCAGACCTCCCAGACTGCCTGCTTCCAACCTGCACCTTCAAAGTGGGGCAGGAGCCAACATCCATGTCATGTGACTGGTACCCTACAGCAGTGCTAGGGCACCGACACCCCTGTTCTTCTGCCCCGGGTGGGGAATCTGGGATGGATGGTTCTACTCCCCTTTTTCTCTGAGGTTTACTGGGTGTCAGACACTCGGTCCTAGCAAGCCAGGCCCCAGTGGTGCCATCTGCCAAGCCCCCATGGGTGTGCCTAGCACAGTGCTAGGTGCTATTTGGGAAGGGGAAGGAAAAGCAGGCCTGAGCTGTTCTGAGGGCTGAGATAGGGAACCAGATTTGTCGCTCTCTTGGCGTGAACGCTTGCAGGACCCTCTGGCCAGGTTGATCCAGAGGAAGGGGTAGGAGTGGCAGAGGCAGGCTCGGCAGGTCCTGGGCGGAGGCCTAGCCAATCTGTAGATTAAGCCTGAGGGCCAGGAGGCTGGAAGCAGCAAGACCGGGGGAAGGCCACAAAAGATTGACCAAGGGGGCTTCCCTGGTGGCGCAGTGGTTGAGAATCCGCCTGCCGATGCAGGGGACACGGGTTCGTGCCCCGGTCCGGGAAGATCCCACATGCCGTGGAGCGGCTGGGCCCGTGAGCCTTGGCCGCTGAGCCTGCGCGTCCGGAGCCTGTGCTCCGCAACGGGGCTTCCCTGGTGGCGCAGTGGTTGAGAATCCGCCTGCCGATGCAGGGGACACGGGTTCGTGCCCCGGTCCGGGAAGATCCCACATGCCGTGGAGCGGCTGGGCCCGTGAGCCTTGGCCGCTGAGCCTGCGCGTCCGGAGCCTGTGCTCCGCAACGGGAGAGGCCACAACAGCGAGAGGCCCACGTACCGCAAAAAAAAAAAAAAAAGTAAGTAAATAAAAGACTGACCAAGGAAAAGGAGGGGCTGTGGAGGTTCACCCAGGAGTGTGTGTGTGTGTGTGTGTGTGTGTGTGTGTGTGTCTGTCTGTCTGTCTGTCTGTCTGTCTTAGGGGAGAGAACCAAGGGCCAAGGTGACCACTCAAATAGGCATCCTGCATCCTTCCCCATGCCTTGCTGTAGGGGCTAGACCACCATTCTGGACAGGGGCTTCAGGGATCAGTGCTGGCTGCCAAAATACTATGGCTGTTGACTTCATTTATGGCCTTCCAGAGACGTCCCTAGAACAAGGGATTTGGAACCAGAAGATCTGATTTTTGAGTCCTGGGTCTGTTCATTATCTGGCTATAAGAACCTCAGTTTGTGAAATGAGTCTAACAGCATCTAACTGACAAAGTTGACATGAAAAAATACGCAATACCTATCAGTAAATGTATCTGCTAATAAGGTTGATGAAATAAAATTTATCTTTTAAGGCAGGACAAGAAAAATTAAACATAAAATTCTTTTCATGTGTTTGTTTGTGCCTCCTCCCTCCTTCCTCAACGTGCAGTGTGCATCTGCATTACACATTCGCCAGAGCTCCTCAAAGATGGGAGCGCCCTGCCCCCCTCAGTAAAGATCAGGTTTTTTTCTTTCTTCTGATGCTATCAATGTAACTTCTTAAAGGAATAGCTTTCTCAGCTCTGTAGGGGATCCCGGTGACTCGCTGCTTGCTTTGTACACGTGCATACCCAGACTATGGATCCTTGGTGACCTTTATGTAAAATAATCGTGTATTATTTTGATGTATGATCCTTTGTCTTGAAAATGTATATGACTGCGCCCTCGACTTCTAACAGGTGGAACAGTTCTCAGAGCTTTCTGAGAATCTGCTTCCTGAGTGATAATCCTCAGTTTGGTGTGAATAGCATTTCCTTTTTTTCTCCTTAACTTGAAAGTTAATTGAATTTTTGTCAACAGTATGTATGAAAGTGTCTGGTTCTGCAGAGATAAGGGTAAAGAAGAAAGTAAGACAAAGAGAATGAGATGAAGAAAAGCAAAGCCAGACCCCATTCACAATGCTTCAATGCATATTTCCCCACATCCCTTACCTGCCCATTAAGGAGCATATATGGTTATTACTGATGCATAAGAAGTCTCCATTGTGAAGACCATTAGGTCTCTACCATGCACACATGTTCCTGTTTGTGATTGGTCCTTATTTTGTGTATGCTGTGCAGAGTTTTAAAACATTATATTACTTTATATCCATCTTTCCTTTCATGGTTTCTGGTTTTTGTATGCATAGTGCTTAGGAAGTTCACTCTAACAGATTTTCCTTTAATTTAATTTTTAAATGATGTGCTCATTTCCCAATATTTGTAGAATTGATCACCTTGTCTCCACTGTTTCAAAATGCCATCTTGGATGCAACGAGTTTTGCTATTTACAGAATACATCCTAAATTTCTTATGACTTGTGTTTATACCTCTCTTCTTCTTTTCTTTTTTTTTTTCTTACCTGCCTAGATTTTTTTTTTTAGGAAAGACTTTCAACATTTTGTACTGAAACCTCTTTGGGGTGACCTAAAGTCTTGTTGGAAATTGCTTTAAAAATAAATGTTCAGGGCTTCCCTGGTGGCGCAGTGGTTGAGAGTCCGCCTGCCGATGCAGGGGACGCGGGTTCATGCCCCGGTCCAGGAAGATCCCACGTGCTCCGGGAAGATCCCACGTGCCGCGGAGCGGCTGGGCCCATGAGCCATGGCCACTGAGCCTGCGCGTCCAGAGCCTGTGCTCCGCAACAGGAGAGGCCACAACAGTGAGAGGCCTGCATACCGCAAAAAAAAAGAAAAAAAACCCTAGAAAGAGGCTGCAGAGTCACTCAGTTGGCAGGCTTCCTGGGTTCTGATTAGTCCGATGCCTGCAAGCCCCCGGTGCTGCTGAGAATGTGCTGATAACATGAACTTCAACAGGAAGGTGTGAAAGTAACAGGCTCCCCCAGCTGAAGACAGCGAGGGCGGCCGGGTAGCTGGGAACGGGAGTCAGGAGGTCCGGGTTCCAGTTCCTTGATGGTCAGTGGTCTCTGGGTGGCCTTCAGCAGGTCCCTTTCCCTCTCTGGCCTCAGTTTCCCCATTTGTAAATGGAAGTGGCTGGACCAGTAATGGCTGCACACTGGACCTTCTCGGGGACCAGGCTGTTGACAGGATAATGAGGCAAGTCACAGGAGCACCACAGGAAAGCATCAGTGGCCAGGGCCACAATAGTGAGAGGCCCGCTTACCGCAAAAAAAAAAAATGTGTTGAATGAATGGATGAGTGGAAAGGTAAGTTTGAGAGTCACCGGGCCCACTGTTGGTATTTAAATCCACGACACAGAATGAGAACCCTCAGGAGGAAGAAAAGATATACAAGAGAGGAGGAGCAGTGGGGAACCTGGGAGCACGATGGTGATGAGAGACAGGCAAGGAGGCGGAGCCGCAGAGGACGAGAGGAGTGGCCGGTGAAGGACAGGGAGAGCAGAGGGCACGGACTTGGGTGGGAGCGCTTCGAAATGGAACAAAGCATTGACTGTCTAGTGCCTCTCTCGGAGATTTGGCTGCTGGCTCTAGCAAGGCAAGGTCAGCGGCAACTCTGGAGAAATGGGTTGAGGCAATAATGGGAGAACGTGGAGATGGTAGAGACAGCTTCTGCCCTGAAAGAAAGAAAAGACATGGGCTGGAAGCTGGAGGCGTGACTAGGGGCCAAGGGAGATGTTTTTGCTTTTGATTTGAGGATGGGGGTAGTTAGAGCCTGCAATCTGCCCTGGAGGGTGATCCAGTAGATGTCATTTATGGACGGTGCAGGAGAAAAAGGAAACGAAGGCAGGAATGAGGTCCTTGCAGAGGCAAGAAGAAATGGGGTCCACGACCAGGTGGACAGGAATCCAGGGTCCACAGGTGCCTCAGGGCATCTGACCCCAGGCCCAGGGCAGGGAGGCCAACCCAAGTCCCACCCACGGAGGACGTGAAGCTGCTCCTTCAAGGCCAAGGGGAGAACACTGACGCTGCTGAGAACTTTCCATGCATTCGCTTTAGCCCTCTTCTGGTCCTGTGGGTGCTACCATCATCATTTTCATACAAGTGGCTTAGAGAGGTGAAATCATTTGCTCCGAGTCACAGAGCTCATGGAAGGCAGAGTGGATTTGAACTCAGTTCTGCCTGGCTTCCGGTCTCAGGACTCTGCTGCTTCTAGCACCAGATTGCTGGGGTCACGATTAGCTCAGGGCTTGGGCATGGCTGAGGCTACAGTGGGGAGACCCTCAATGGCTGCGCTGAAGGCGTCCTGAGAAATGGGGGCTCGAGGACATTTCTGTGGATGAGGGCACAGGCAGTTTTGATAGGAATTAGGAACACAGTTCAGAGAGCATGAATGTTTTAAAACCCCATCCCAGGCTTAAGGAGCCTCTCCTCGTTCTGTGGATAGAGAGGAGTTCTGAGACCTCAGGGGCTGGGAGGACAAATGCCTCATCATCACCTCTCCTGAAACTGCCTGGAAAAGCGGCAGGGTCCTTCTGCTCATCTGTGTCACTTTCTGCTCCCCAGGGTCACAGACGTGTTTGTGCCCCGGTTGTTCATCACCGAAAACCTCGGCCTGAAGGAGACTCTTTCCTACCCGGGTGTCACCAGAATCTTTGAGGACCACGGTGATCTCACCAGAATCTCCCGTCATCGAAGCCTGAGAGTGGGTGAGGTAAGCCTGCCTGGCCGAGTTTGCTGCCCCCTCCAGCACAGGGAGCCTTCATACAGCCCCAGGCCAGAGCCACTGTCACAGCAGCTGTACGATCCAAGAGTTCACCCACCAGTCAGGCAGGGCTCGAATCCAGCTCCACCTCTAACCAGCCGTATGACCCTGAGCAAGTCACATAACCTCCCAAGCCTCGTGTTTCTAGTCTTTCAAATCTGAACCATCGATCTCCTGGTCCTACTTTGGAAGTTGATTCAATGCAGCAAACAATGGATGGAGGCTTGGAACATTCATCAGGCCTAGAACTGACCCGGGCTTGTGAGGATTAAGTCGTGAACATGTTCTATGTAACGTAGAGAAAGCAAGCAAAGGACTCCGTGGTCTCCAGCAAGGCTGAGCACCTGCCTATTGGCGGCAGTCAGAGAGGACCACTCGGAGTAGGGTGCCCAGATTTAGCAGATAGAACACAGGACACCAGTGAAACTCAAATTTCAGATAAGTGATGAATGATTTTTTTTTGTATAAGTTTATCCTGAATATTGCATGGGATATACTTGTGCTAAAAATTTCATCGTTTATCTGAAATTCAAATTTAACTGGACATCCTGTATTTTATCTGGCAACCCTACTTTTAGGCTTAAAGGGCACTGAGAAGCGGGAAGATTTCAGCAAGCAGAGAAGGGTGCAGGCAAGATCTTCCTGTAGGGGAAGCAGCATGGCCTAAGGATAGGAAGTGGGAAGGCGTGGAGCCCAAGTGGGTGGGGATTGGCTGGGGCTAAATTCAAGCCAATCTGGGAAGGATCTGAGTTGCCAAGATGAGCTGAGTGAGGTGGCTCACTCAGCTGTATTTTCTAGCCTGCAACAGGAAGAAAGACAGTTAATAGAACTTTATTGGTTTTAAAAGTTTTCCTGCTGCAGACTTTGCATAAACATTCAATACCACCTGCCCCTTTCCTATAGGCCTTTATTGAGTTCAATGGCCCTTTTCTTTTCTGCAGTCAGATGTGTTGATAGCTGCGATTCTATACTTAAACATCAGCTCTTGGCTTGCCAGTAAAATTGTTAGCATTTTGTAGAATGGAATGAAATGTATCAGTATTTCACAGAAGCCCATCAATTTCCCAGTGTCAATGACTTGGTGACAGATGTTGATGCCTTTCAGGTGGATCTGGGGTCTGAGTCATCAGACCCTGGACTCTGACTCCTTCTTAACATTCCACCAGGAGGATGAAAGGAGTGTTTAGCGGGCTGGAGGCTTTGGGCCAGGGATGCCACCACCTCCCTTCCATCTAGCTAAAGTTCAGGATAGCCTTTCTGCCATTATTACTATTGTTGCTTCCCTGTAAGTCATGGGAAACATAGCAAACCCCACTCTGTCCCCCTCCCTGTAGCTGATGCAACCCCTGCATCATTTATTTCCTTCATGCTGCATCTACTTGTTGAGCATCCTTCAGTGATGACAGCAGAAAAGCCAGGAGCCCTGGGGGCAGCTGGCACCAGCCAAGTTACTGCTGTGCCGGGTGACTCTGGCAGAGGCCTCTCCCTCTCTGGGCCTCTTGCTGGCCTTTGCCCATCCAGGACCTCCAAGTGGCTTCGCAAGCACTGACTTCACTCCTGTTTGCCTCAGGCGGTACACAAGGCTACCCTGAAGATGGATGAGAAAGGCACAGAGGGGGCCGCGGGCTCCGGAGCACAGACACTGCCCATGGAGACACCGTTTAAGGTCAAGATAAACAAACACTTTCTGCTGATGATTAGGGAGAATGGAATGAATAACCTGCTCTTCCTTGGAAAGATTGTTAATCCTTCTGGGAGATAAGGGGGAAATCCCACTTGCTACAGACCCCAACTATGTTCTGGGGTTGAATGCGTTTTGTCTCCCTGGGATTGAGACCACAGGGACTTTCTCACCTAATCTCACACTGTCATGCGCTCCCCAAACCGCTGTCCAAACAGGCCGCACCACTGACTTGTGGCCATCAGCTTTCTCCCCACTCAAATGTCAGGATTAGAGGCCCCACCCACAACCACTTGACAGGGATCTTCTCTCCGCCTGGCAGGTGGAGGGGTTTTGTGATTTAATAAACAACACCCCCAAGGTCTGCTGACTGTTGGTGGACAATATGGGGAAGCTGTGAGCCAAGACGAGTACCTGGGGTTCAGAATGAGTGAGACCCGGGTTCTAATCTTAGAACAAAAGTGTCTTTGGGAAAGGGAGACGCTTGCCTTATCCTCCTTCTTGCCTTTCCATTGCCTTCACTCTTATATTGGCTCCAAGCAGGTTCCCAGTGAATGTCTACTAAATGGCATTAACTCTGTGGCCCCAGATCTTTGGATCGGGTTCATCCTTGTCATTCACAGAATATCTCCTCCCAGCAGCAGCTCCATTGACTGACTAATGTGAAGAGGCTCCTGTCCCAGAATCCCTACAGAAATAGACAATGATTGAGGACAAATGATAATCCCCTCTAGGGCTCTGAGGAAACTAGCACACTGCTTCAGAGAGGTTAATTCCCCTTTGAGAGCCCTTGGCTTTGAGTGTTTGGCATGTGAGCTACACAGATATCTCCCCAACAGGGTCCACACGGGAGCTCTGGACTCAGCCCAGCAAAACAGGAGTGGGGCTGGTCCAGCATTAGAGTACATACAACCTAGAGTAGCAGCAGTCAGGACTCAATGCCAGGTTTGTCTGACTCCAGAGCCACTATTTCGGTCCAAAGCGAAAAGCCCTGGGGTTTGAACCTGTCAACAAGCTCAGCTGAAGAGTGAATGGGGTCCGTGCACCGCCTCTGGAAAGCATGCCCCTGCAGGGTCTGCATGTGACCACTAGGAGGCACCAGTGTTCACAGGGCTAAGAATATGAGTATGAGGTTTCTTGAAGCGCTTGATTCCGTTGTTTCCTGCTGTGACTTCCCAAAGCCAACGCTGAAGGTGTTTTGCGAGGGGATCCTCGCTGGCTTGACCCTGAGGAGCCTGAGCTGGCAGCAATTGCCAACCCCTAACATTCACAGCTCACAGTGCCTTTTGTGTTCTGGTCTCAGCTACCCCTCCAGCATTCAGAATGGACATTCATAGGCCAGATGTGGAAAGTGAGGCTCAGAGAGGTGAATTGACTTCCCTTTGTCCTAGTGGTTAGGCGTAGGCAGCAAACAGCTGTGACATCTAGTTTGAGCAGGAAGGGAGGGGCTCCCCATAGACCTGGGCGTCCAGCTAGTCATTCCTCACCTCCAGTCCAAGGTAAGAGAGCTGCCCGGTCCCGGTTAGCGTGTGTGTGTGTGTGTGTGTGGTCTGTGTGTGTGTGTGTGTGCACGCGCGTAAGCGTGTGTGTACTCAGTAAGCACCTTCTCCTCTGTCCTGGGTACCCACAGGGCCCTGGAGATCCACCCCCCACAAAAGATGGTAAGGAAGGCAGCCTGGACAGGGATAGAGCTGGTTTAGGGTGTTAAGTGTCAAGATTGGGGAGCACCAGAGTAAGCAGCCTCTCTCTGAGAGGGTGGAGGAGGGCAAGAAAGTTGAGATCCTGCACCCAGGACGCAGATGTGGGAGCAAAAGGGCCCCCGTGGAGTACTTCGCTGACAGTCACCATTTCCCTGGCACCAGCCTGGGGATGGAGGTAGGAGGACACCAGATGAACGCCAGAACCCTCATGAGTCGTCTCAGGTCCATGACGTATGCCACTGGGGACATGGGACAGGAGGGTAAGCCACTTAGTAGCTGGGTGACTTGGGCATGTCATTTAAAGCCTCTGAGCCTCAGCACCCCCTCCTTTGTTGAGAGGTGCTGTCCCCTCTACTGGGCATGCTCACCTCCTGCCTAATGAGCCCCTACTCATCCTTCAGTGCTCAATCCTTTATGACCTCTTTATGGAATTTTCTCTACCAAGAAGCCCTTCAGTAAAGTACTCACCTCCACGCATTGTGATGGCTCCTGGGTCTGAATTTTCCCTCCACCCCCACGTGGGCTACAATCAAATCCTGCATGAAACAATGACTTATGGGGCAGCAATCCCTGGGCTAGAAGCTGATACAAACAGACCTGGCCCCTGCCTTCATGGAGTTAATATCCAGCGAAAGAAACAGCCATGAATCGAGTAACAACACATAAATGTATGATCATGAGCTCTAGTGAACATGATGAAAGGCGGTCATGGGGTGCTTTGAGAGTTTGTAATGGGAGGGTCTGACCCAGTGTGGGGGATCAGGCCCTGGGAACATGACAATTGGGAAAAGCTTTGAATGCTGGGAGCATATCTGTTTTTGAACCATAGCTATTAATTAAAACTGCATATGGGTGTATTTTTCTTCATGTAGTTAATAATATGTAAAACAGTGGTTGGTCTTTCAAATGGAAATGAAGCTTAATATCTAGTGCTTTATTCATCTTTCTTTTAACTAACTTCATTCTAAAAAGGACTGTTGCACCTCTTCAATATTTTTCTATATGATTTCCTACTTTCACAGCCATATTTTCATTATTCACTATAGAAATAAATTCTACCTGGGCAGAAAAGAGGGGGAAGCAGCTGGGATGGGGAGCAGAGGGAAACCGTACCAAGCAGAGGGAACAGTATGTGCAAAGGTCCTGAGGTGGGATGGTCGTGTGCACAAAAAACTGAAATGAGATGAACATGCCAGAACAACGAAATAAGGCAGGAGGAAGTGGGTGGTGAGGTTGGAGAGGTAGGCTGGGGCCTCGTGGGCCACAGGGAGAATGCTGGTCTTTAAATGAAGGACTGTGGACAGCTTTAGCAGGCATTTAGTTGGAGGGTGACCCAGACAAACTCGTGTGTTGTTAAGTGTCCCGATGGCTGCAGACTGGGTGTCCCTGGGTCCCCAGGGCCCAGAGCCAGGTCACATCATGGAGAACATGCTCAGTACGTGTTTGCTGAAAAGAAAGACTGTCCCATGTTCTGGACATAGCCAGCCCCATCCAGAGCTCTCCTCTCCTCAGGGAGCGAAGGCCATGCGCCTTTGCCTGGCAGGCCT